GGAAACAAATGTTGGACAATAAGTAAGACATTGTTCCATGTATTTGTCCGACTGATATCTAGAACAGAGGATTATATGATCACTTATCTTAAATGGCGTACCATCATCTTCTCAAGTTTCGAGAAACCTTGTAAAGAGCTACGATTGCCGATCGGTTCCTGAAGTCATACTTGCAGTAATAGTTACTAGACTTATCCAAGTGGGAGACTGTTGGATAAGGTGTCTAAGTCCATAACTATTTCTGGTATGTACTTGACCCGACCCGGCATGGTCCATTTGGGTTGCATGGCACCATGCAATTGGATAACTAAATGAGAGAAATAACGCTTGGAGATTATTAATATATTATAAGTTCTAATATATTAATAATATTATTTGATTAGTTTGATCAAGAATTAATTTAGAATTAATTAAGTGATCAAAAGATAACTAATTAAATATATGGGTTGATTAAGTAAATCATCCATATCTTGTATAGTGGGCTAAAAGGCTCCATGGATCATCAAGTTGGGTTCCACCCATAGGATGCTCCATGGATGCTCCATGGGAGTTACAAACCCATGGGTCATGGAAATGAAGAGTCATGACACATTAGGGTTTAACCCTAGATGTGTCAACACTATATAAGGAATATGATCTCCTCCCAAATCGGTTACACTAAGCAATAAGAGGGCTTGGCCGATTTTAAAGAGTGTGTATTCTCTCATAAGTTCTTCCAAGAGCATTTGGTGTTGTGTGAAGCATTTGAGGCATCACCACTTGAGGTGCTAGGCTCACAAGGTTTCAAGGAACACAAGCAACAACAAGGTAAGTTATTCTATCTATACTTTATGTTAAAATTGTTCCCCATGTATGCTAGATAGGAATATAACCTTGGAATTCAACTTTGCATGACAAATTAGACAAACATAGATCCAAGGTTATTAGGGTTGCATGTACACTTAGGAAGTGTTAGAATGCTCAAAACCCATCAAAGGGTTCTTTATATAGTTGGGCTATTAGGGTTATCTAACAAGTAAACCCTAATTTGGATGCTTAAGCCCTAAGCAACCCATAGACTCCTTTTAATAAAGCCCTTGGACGATTTCCTTATGGGCTTCCCCATAGAATTCGTCCAACCCTTGATACAAGGCAATCCATGGCCCAAATTGCAATTATCCTATAATTACAATTCCAGTCCCTTAAGTTTAATTAATCTCTTTTAGTCACAAAACTAATTACCAATTAATTATTGACTAATATTAATTAAACAATATGATTTCTCCTTTAATATATTATTCCCATAATATATTAATAAATCATATTTAATCCTTACTCTCCATAATTCATCCTATCAAGTTGCTTTGGTGAAGGCAACCCAAAAGGACCATGCACCATCGGGTCAAGTACATACCAAAATAGTTATGGACTTAGACACTAATCCAACAGATAGTGAGGACATTATGTCTTTTACGCAAAATCGTTATTAGTCTCTATCCTTTATTTTTTTATAGAACAAAAAATAAAAAAATATGTTCCGCTAGATATGTTTGGACAAGATTCTAGAGTTTTATTTTTATTTTAATTTTAATTTTAGTTCTGATGTTTGACCAAATAGATAAGTCAAGATACCGATCTTTATGTAATTTTAATTTCTCAATCATATAATTTGTGTATATCGAAATTTACAGAATGCGGACCCTTATTTAGGAAGATAATGGCTTGAAGTAGTATCAACGATAAATCAATATTCATGAGTCATGGAAACGATTTTTATACTAGATTTTGATTCTCTTATCCTATTATAGCATCATGCTTTCATGTTTTAGGTAGAGCTGAAAGTGTGATGCTATTTCATGCATAAACCAACATGATAACTCACAATCAAGGGTTGATTTCATGTTTTAGCATTCCCATAATTGATACTTTACAAATGACCATTTTCTCCTTGGACCAAAATTGTAAAAAGAAAAATACTATAAGGATTAAATTTCTAAAAGTTTCATATTTTTTGTTTTAAAACATATTATATGATATCATTATTGATCCTCAAGTTATCTTGCTATTTCATATATATCTTTTTGATCATATGTGAGTTGAAGTCTTCTGATACTGCTTATGTTCATTGAACCTCTATATATTTTAACTAACAAATTTTACTTATTACAAGCTTACTTTGGGTCGACAACATGCAGGGTTGGAGCAATAGATGCAAAAAAAGTGTTGCAATGATGGAATTATGTATCCAATTCGTTATTTTATAAGGGTTAAACCAAAAAATAGCATCATACTTTAATCTGTTTGATTTTTGTAATGTATGAGTTTGTTTATTCGATCTTCCTTAAGAACTATTGCTTACCTAAAGCTTTCCAAATAATTAAGTAGGTTTGGACCGAATGTTACTTTTATGTTTTACTCATGTCAGATAATATAAAATAGAAACTTACTTTTAATGATTTATTACATAATAAATTTTTAATTCTATTTAAAATTAATATCTGTGGGTTCCACGAGTTTTAAATAGCAATATACTTAGTTTTCGACTTTTGAGTCCAAAGATGTATGATTCGAACTTTAATTGTGAAATCATCCTTGATTGAGTCAATTTCCTTTATAGGAGTAATATGTTCCATTGTACCTTGCAATTAAAAAATAATTGTTTTGTTAACAAAAATGTTAAAATATAAAAAGAAAAATCGAAAGCCATTGATTTATTTATTTATTTATTTGTCTTAATTGTTAATTGGCATTTATCAAAACATTTTCAAGTTAGGGGCAATATGGTCGTTTTGGAGTAAACGAAGTGGAAAAGGGTAACATGACAGTTATAAAAAATAAAAAACTATATCATAGACTATAGTAGAAGTTTTATTATTCAAAATACATAAAAAAAAAAGTAGAAATAGCAATACACATTGAATTTTTTGTTATTCAGAATACATAAAAAAACCAAATAGATTGATTGATTATTATAGGTCAGATTTTATTATTCAGAATACATAAATAGCAGAATTTTATTATACAAATTGATTGATTGATTTATTTGTCTTAATTCTTAACTGCGATATATCAAATACTTATCAAGTTAAGGGCAATATGGTCTTTTTGAAGTAAAAGAAATGGAAAAGAGTAAGATGACAGTTATAAAAAATAAAAAAGTATATCATACACTATAGTAGAAATTTTTTTATTCAGAATACATAAAAAAAAAGTAGAAATAGCAGTATACATTCAGTTATTTGTTTTCAAATTAAGGGCATAGATTGATTGATATAGCAGATTTATTATTCAGAATACATAAATAGCAGATTTTATTATTCAGAATACATATATAGTAGAATTTTTATTATACAAATTGATTGATTTATTTATCTGTCTTAATTGTTAACTGCGATATATCAAATACTTATCAAGTTAGGGGCAATATGGTCTTTACATATATAGCAATATTTTTATTATACAAATTGATTGATTGATTGATTTGTCTTAATTGTTAATTGCGATATATCAAGCAGATGAAGTAAGATCGATTGTTTTGAAATGTGATGTCATATCTGTTGAAGGGTATAATGATTATTGTTTTCGAATGGTATGTGTTCGATTGGTTATTGGGTTTGTATACAGGGATCGATTTTAAACGGAGGTTAAAGATTGTGGGAACGAATAACTGTTAAATTCGATGTTTTCTGGAACGAAGCCTTGGTTATTAAATGAATCATACGAAGGATCTGTTATTTGATTTTGGAATTGGGGCGAATAATCGAACGATTTGGAGTTGCGAATTTGATTTTGAAAAGCCAATCAGTTGGGTTCGCATATGAAAACAGATAAGTTTTGATTTTGGATTCGCAATTGGGTTAATTGGGTTATTGATTGAGGGACGATTCGTGAAGAAAAATGCGAAGTCAAGAAGGACTGTGAAATGTGATTTGTTCAATATTGGAGTCAAATGCAGTTCACGTGTAAAAGCAAAAATGTTCGCATTTGGTAATACAAATCAAAATTGGGTTTCGCATATGAGGTTGTATGGATTGGGGTTAAAGATGCGAAAGTGATTATGGTTAATATTCATTTCGCATTTGGTGAGACAAACAACTTAAATGCGAATGAACTAAAAAAAAAAATGACTGGAACATGCGAAGAAAGAGGGTGAATGAAGAATGCGAATTTTACAGTAGAATGCGAATTGGGGAAGAAAGCTAAGAATTTCGCATTTTTATTATACAAATTGATTGATTGATTGATTTGTCTTAATTGTTAATTGCGATATATGAAATACTTATCAAGTTAGGGGTAGAGAGGGATTAAAATTATTAATTTTAGATAAAGATGGCAAACTCACAAATAAAACTTCCAATGTTGTTTATAAGGAAGTTTTTCGAAATTTGTAGCCAACTTTTTTGTAACGTCGTTTTATTCAATTTTAGGTGATCACACTTAATCTATCATATTACTGTATTTTTTTATAATTACGTATTGTTGTATTTTATGTTAATTTCATTACACACATTGGTATTGTATCATCTGCATATGTCCAATTAGAATGATGAATAAAAAAAAATAGTTTTCAAAAATCTTCATTCCTAATTAAATACTTCCCATTTAGTTAGTAATTAAATAATTACCAATAAAAAAAATTATTTAAATATTCAATATTACAATTTATAAGTTATCAGAATTATTGATATAATATTTTATTAAATAATTAATTTTTAAATTCAATTCAAAAACAGCACCCGTGGGTTCCACGGGTTTTAACCTAGTTTTCATTCAAACAAGAAACCATCAACCAAATCTCATTAACCAACAACCAAACAACTACCGGTTAATAGGTAACCCTAATTTTCATATTTTTATCAATCAAAAAGGTTTTTTGCTAATTATTTATAAACAACATATCAACAATATAAATTGGTTAAATTTCTTTTTCCTATAACATAAAACAAGAAACTTTAAATAACTGAAATTTATAAATACTCAAAACTCAAACATTAAACCGAAAAAATTATTTTAACCATTTGCTACATAGACTTAGAAGCATGACAAGCCTTAGCTGTTTCCTTCAACACAGCACCAACAATGGCAGCCTGTTCAAGACATTCAGCCTTATGCAACGAATCCATAAGCACAACACACGTATTCAAATACACATTACACCCTTTCATTCTACAATCCTCAAACAACAAATAAGCATCCATAGCTCTATTCGATACACTCAACCCTTCAATCATAGTATTATAACAACCCGAATCCGGGATTCCACCACCTTTCTTAAACCTCTCAAACAACCGATTTGCCTCGATCACATTCCCACTTCTCGCAAGCCCACTAATCATTGTGGTATAAGTCACAACATTCGGTTGCACCCCTTGTTTTTGCATCTCTTGCCAAAACACAAATGCTTTATTGAATTTTCTGATTTTACATAATCCGTTTATGATAATTCCATAAGTGATTCCATTTGGTGTGCATTTTAAATCCTTCATTGAGTTAAAGCACACAAGTGCTTCATCGATTTCTTCCGCTTTCACTAATGCATGAAGCAAACAATTCCATGTGTAGATATTTGGTGTTAGCCCTTTTTGCATTAATTCTTCCATGATTAAATACGCTTCATCGATTCTACCTACTTTTCCAAATCCATCAACAAGAGAACTATAAATTATCACGTTTAATTCAATTCCTTTTGATTTAGCTTCTTCGAATAACATATAAGCTTCGTCTAATTTGTTTATTTTTGCAAGCCCATCGATCACGGATCCGTATGTAACAACATTTGGTGGATGACCTTTGGACTTCATTTCTTCTAGAAGCTTATATGCTTTGTTGACTTGACCTGATTTACAAAATCCATTGATAAATGTGTTGTAAGTAGGTGTATCTAGAACACATCCTTGTTTCTTCATGTTATGGAGTATTGAATTTGTTTCTTTTGAAAATCCTGATTTTATTAATCCGTGAAGTAATATGGAATAGCTTCGAGCATCTGGGGACATGTTGTGAACCTTAATTTCTTCAAATAAAGCTCGACCTTTTTGTGTTTCACCGGCTTTAAAAGTGGAATCCATGTAAGTGTTCAACAGGGTTAAATCCGGAATTATACCTTTTCGAATCATTTCTTTGTAAATCTTATGACCATCTTCCTTTCTTCCTACTTTAAAAAAGTTTCTTATTAGAGAAGTGTAGACTACTGGATTTGGAGTCACATTAGCATCCAACATTTGTTCATATAGTTTGTAAGCATCATCGACTCTATTCATTTTCCCTAATCCTTCTATAAGAGAGCAATAAGTGTAACCATTTGGAGGACAAAGTTTGTGATCCATTTTTTCAAAGATTAAACACGCTTCATCTAGTTTTTGAGACTTACAGAGTCGATCGATCATTATGTTGAGAGTTAATATATTCGGATACAATCCAGATTCTTTCATGGATTCTTGAATTTCCAAAGCCTTTTCAAGATTCTGAGATCTACAAAGGGTGTCTATGAGGATATTGTATGTTGACAAATTAGGGGATGCGTCTTTTTTCATTTCATCAAAGAGCTTCAAAGCCTCATTTACTTTCCCTTTTTTTCCAAGACATGTGAGGATGCAATTATATGCAACAACACTTGGGATTGAGCCTTTGAGTCTTTGCTTCTCGAGTAGCTTAAATGCTTCATCAAACTTTCCAGCCATTCCATAACCCATGATCATGGTGTTATAAGCATATGCACATGGGACTCTTTTTTTATGCTCCAATTCATCGAATAACTCAATAGCTTCATTAAGCTTATTAGCTTTACATAGCACACCTATCATGCTAGTGTATGACACATCATCAGGCATGATTCCATGAGCTTTCATTTCATGAAAAAACTTCCAAGCCATGTCTACTTTTCCAGCTTTACCAAAAGAGTCTATACAAACATTATATAGAACAATATCTCCATCAACATATTTACTTCTCATTTCATCTAAAAGAGAAAGAGCAGCATCAAGTCTACTTTCTCTTGCAAATACACGTATCACAGTTGTGAATAGATGCACGTGTACTTCATAGCCTAACTCTTGCATTTGGTGAAAGAGAGTGAGAATGAGATCAGGTTCATGAATGGTTGAAAGAGCTCCTATGAGAGTTGTGTAGGCTGAAAAAGCAGGGCGAAATTTGAATCTTCTCATGAGTTGGATTAAGTCATAAGCTTGTTTTAGTTTATGATTCTTGACACAGGTTAGGATTAGTTCAAGAGATGTGGTATTAGAAGGGCCAAAACCTGAAAGATTCATTTCTTGAAAGACTTGTTCGATTTGATCAAAGTTGTTGCTTTTTGCCATAACCATGAGAAGGGAGTTGTATGCTTCAGGACAATGGGGTTGATTGCTTTTCTTTTCTGCCCATTGAAAATAGTTTAGTGCAAGATTGACATCTTTTAGTTTCCTTAAAACAGAAATGACCAAATCACTTTGTGTGCTTCCATTGTATGTGGATAAAGCTTTCTCTAAAGATGTTCCCCATGGAGCACTTTCCAAGATTTGGCATACATTATCCACTTCTTGTCTTTTTCCATTGAATTTTTCAATGTGTTCTTCATTAATGCCACTTGTAGAAGAAAGAGCTCTTTGTTGCAGATGAGAAAGCCCTATATATAAAGATAGAAACCTCTCACATAGAATAAAAACATCAGAGGATTTTGAACTAGAGGTTAATAATTTCCCTGCAGCAGGCATAAATAGTGATTAGCAAATAAACCCTAGCTTCATAGAAAAGAAAATGATAAGATCATGATGAATTGATGATTGATATGATATGCTTGACAGAGTTTGCTCAGGATAATGCGGTTAAAAAAAGAGAAATTTGTTAGCAATTTATACCTCGGCCTGTAAGAAGTGTCTTCATCCTTGCACTCAGTTGCTTCTACATAGCCTGTTCTTCAGAGCTCCCATTCCAATTCTGAGAAGTCATGAAATTTGGAACTCTTAAGTCTTAACTAAATACAGAAACATTGCAACAGAAATCATTACAGCTTAGAAGAATAGGCACATAGAACAGACGCGTACATGATGACAAACGACATAAAATGAAATCTAGGACCAATTTCAACAATTGACGCAATTCAGTTGTGAGCAATCAACATTCAACAAGTATGAGCAATCACACACAGATAACGCATAATCAATTAAAATACGCAATGATTGCAATCATTACCTTACATCAGGTTTTCAAACGCCAAGGTATAGGTGTATCGCACTATCGCTATAATTGTAATCACTACCTTGCAGCAAGTTTACAGAACACTAAAAGAGAGTATACACTTGATGACGATTATGTTAGGGTTTCGATAGCAATAAATAACTTATATGAGATTTTAAACAAAATGATGAAAATCAGAGGGGCATGGAGGCTGATAGAACATAGAAAGCATACTCAAAGCTGCCGGAAATTACGCAACATGTTTTCGCTACGGCGGAGGTGAATGAGGTCGGTGATATTAGCCGGACTAACTGGTGTCTTCCAAGTTCCAACCAGGGCCGAGGAGAAGAGTCTGGTGGTAATGGGCTACTTTCTTGGATTTAGGGTTCATTTTCTAACTAAACAAATGTTACGCAAAGCCCACTTTAGACCGTAAGTTGAATATTGGTGATAAACTCCGGAAAATCTAATTAAAATATAATTTTCTCTACTTTAATTTTTAAATATTACATTGATATTTTATAAAACTTTAAAATATCATTTGAATAAATTTTTACTTTAATATTTATAAACATTATACATCTCTTGTAAATAATATATCTCTAAACCAAGAGACGAACCCTCATAGGTACCACAAGGATACATATATGTTGTATTTGTGCAGTACGAGTAAATAAAAGTTATATTTGATATTCTTAAAGTTTCCTCTGCAACTCCAGTATGATTTTATTCATATCTGCTTTCTTGGTTGCCAGCAATATAGTACGTGATTGTCTAGTTTGTAGTGGTGGTCGTGGTTGTGATGCTGATAGGCTATGTCTCGGCATCTCATAGTCTGTGCTTATGTGATGGAGAAATCATGTGTGACATATAAAGGGAAAAGCCAAGGTGATGGTGTGAAAGATAATGCATTCTCATATGATAACGAAGGTAAATCATCGTTATTAATTCAGACGGGATGATAAAACTACCACACGGCACGTCGGTCATCTGATATCATTACTAACCTCTCTATGTGCCTATTATCATCCTATTACAATTTCAAACATATTGTCAGCAACCAGTGTCGGCCCAAGCCCAGGGCGAGCTGGGTCACGGCCCAGGGCAGCAAGGTATAGTGGGGCATCAACTGAAAGCCTGTTTTAATGTTATTGTATAGTGGGCTTCAGTAAAATATGAAGACAGACAGGAGGCGGGCAACCTAATTACACAACACAGACGCATATCGCCTCTTCAATTCATCTTCGTCTCTTCGATCTAAAGCACACTTGACACGCCAATTCACCAAAGATGAAGAACACGAAGTGTCGGGGGCATCGAATGGAGAGAATCAGGGGACCGTTACAGTTTACACCCTTGGCTATATCGATCGACGATTCGAAGATCGCCCACAAGTCATCGCGCTCCGCCTCTCTCGCTCTCGTCCACATTCGAAACTCGAAAGTCCACCTGAAGACTGAAGTCCTTTCTCTCGTTACAGTTTACACCCTTCAGCTTTCAGCCTTTCTCTCGCCCTTTCTCTGGTTAGCTTCTTGCATTCTCCTATGTTCTTTCTTTCTGAATCGATCTCTAGTCCTCTACTATTCTAAAGCTGTAATAGTTTATCTATTGCAACAAATCTATTGTGTTAAAGTGAAGATTCAAAGGTGCCAAATTGGGATTCATTGAATTTGTCCTCCTGAAGTCCCAATCTTGTAATCCAGTAAGTTTTATCTATTATTTAAAGTTTCTTGCATAACCTACTTAAAATTTCGAAAATCTTACAGTGATTACAGGTTAAAATTTATGAAATTTCAGTTTTCTTATATAGGTTACTGCCCAAGGAAGGGAAATTTCGATCAAGTTGAAGTTGCAGACTTGCAGTCTTGTTCATTGTGAACTACACTAAGCAGTCTAGGTAATTCTTTTTTTCTATTTTTTGTAACTATTCTGATAAACTGTTGTATTTTTTTATAAACTGAAACTATGGTTTTATATAAACTTCATTATATAAACTGTTCTGATAAACTGGTGTATTTTTTTATAATTGTTCTGATAACAGTCTAAGCTTCATTATATAAACTGTGGTTTTATATAAACTGTTGTATTTTTTTTTTTTGAATAATGATATGGTTTTCTGAATTCTAAATAATTTGTTATATATAATCATAAATTAAATATTGATATGTAAATTATGAAGTTGAAAAAATTATGTGCTTTTTATTTTTGAATAATATGTTAGATTAATTTCTGAAAATCTAAAGGATACTATTTCTTTTTTTGTTTAGGTTGTGGATACATATTGATAACTTCAAGTTGTGGATACGGATTGCTAAGTAACTTCAGGTTGCATCCTTCTTTGTTATTACCACATTTTTTACTTTTAATTTTTTGGTGAAGTTTAAATATGTTTCCTAGAAAACAACTATCTGGTGCTCAAAATAGAAAAAGAAAACAAAGAGAACAAGATCTTACTAATAAATTACAAGGATCTTTAAATAACTATTTTTTTAGAAGTGAAAATAATCATGAAAATTCTAATGATGTTGAAACTAATGATTTTGTTGATAATTCTAAAGGTCCAATTGAAACTTCTAATGAACCTATTGAAAATTTTAATGATCTTGAAAATAATGATTTTATTGATAAATCTAGTGATATTAATATTTTTGATCCAAGAGTATGGGATAAGTTAGATTTAAAAATGAAAGATTTGCTTGTAGAAAAATGGCCTATTAGGGAAATTGAAAATTACAAATTTTTTCCAAAAGATGCATTAGGTAGACATTTTTCTTGTGAATTTTATGTTCGTAAATTAAGAAATGGTGACTCTTATGATAGAAAGTGGTTGGTGTATTCGAAAGAACTTGATAAAGTGTTTTGTTTTTGTTGTAAGTTATTTAAAACAACTCGATCTAGAAGTAATTTGGCAACCGAAGGAATTAATGATTGGAAACATCTTAGTGAAAAAATGAATGAACATGAACATAGGTCTGAACACATGATTAATTTAAAAACATGGACACAAACACGACTTAGGTTAAGGAAAAATGAAACAATTGATAAAGAGTTACAAGAAAGAATAAAAAAAATACTCAACATTGGAAAGAAGTTTTGATAAGAATTATTGTTGTTGTAAAATGTTTAGCTGAATATAACTTGGCTTTTCGTGGAGCTAATGAAAAAATATATGAGAAATCTAATGGTAACTTTTTAGGTGTACTTCAAATGATTGTTGAGTTTGATCCCGTAATGAAACACCATTTTCAACTTATTCAAGAAAAAAAAAGTCATTTTCATTACCTTAGTCATAAAATTCAAAATGAATTAATTGAAATGTTGGCATCCAAAGTAAAAAGTGCAATTATTAGAAAAATAAAAAATTCAAAATATTTTTCGATAAATCTAGATTGCACTCTGGATGCAAGTCGTAAAGAACAAATGACTTTAATTATTAGATGTGTTGATGTTACAAGTGTTCCAATAAAAGTTGAAGAGTTTTTTTTAGAGTTTTTAATTGTAGAAGATACATCTGGTTTAGGACTTTTTAATGTGTTACAAAATGCTTTAAAATCTCTTGACTTGGATATAAATTGTATCCGAGGACAAGGATATGATAATGGAGCAAATATGAAAGGCAAACATCAAGGTGTACAAAAAAGACTACTTGATATAAACTCAAGAGCTTTTTATATGCCTTGTGGATGTCATAGTTTAAACTTAGTTTTGTGTGATATGGCAAATTCTTGTTATAAAGCTAAAACTTTTTTTGGTACATGTCAAACAATATATAATGTTTTTTCTAGCTCCACACATAGATGTAGTGTTTTACTTGATCATGTTGATGAATTAACCCTAAAATCATTATCTACTACTCGTTGGGAAAGTCACATTGAAAGTGTTAAAGCAATAAAAACTTAATTTTTTCAAATAAAAGAAGCATTAACAAAATTAGCTCAAGTGAGTGATGATGGTAAAGTTTGTAGAGATGCAGAATCACTAGTAATTGGTGAATTTTTTAATTTTGAATTTATTTTAAGTTTAGTGATATGGCATGAAATTTTATATATAATTAATTTGGTAAGTAAAAAATTACAATCCAAAGATATGATTCTTGATGTTGCAATAAAAAACTTAGAGAGATTAGTTAATTATTTTGAAAAATATAGGGAAAATGGGTTTGACTCTACTATTAATGAGGCTAAAGAAATAGCAGAAAATATTGGAGTTGAACCAAAATTTCCTATCAAACGTGTTCATAGTAGAAAAAACCAATTTGATGAAATTCCAAATACCGAAAGAGAACAACAATCTTCTCAAGAAAATTTTAGAACTGATTATTTTATTGTTATAATAGATATGACTCTAAATCAATTGAGAAGTAGAATGCAACATTTTGAATCTATTTTTGGATTTTTGTTTGATGGTTTAAAGTTAAAATCCTTATTTGATGATGAATTAAAAAAATGTTGTAAGAAACTTGAAACTAGTTTGACAAATGGTGAAAACCTTGATATTGATGGAAAAGATTTATTTATTGAGTTACAAATTTTGCAGGAAATATTGCCGGATGAAGCATACAAAGGTGAACTTCCTTGGACAGCCATTCAAATTATGGAGTTTGCAAAGGAAATGGACATGTTTCCCAATGTGTTTGTGGCATATAGGATTTTGTTAACGGTACCGATCACGGTTGTTTCCGCGGAAAGAAGTTTTTCAAAATTGAAGTTATTGAAATCATATCTTCGGAGTACCATGACTCAAGAAAAATTAAATGGATTAGCAATTTTGAGTATTGAAAGTCAATTCCTACGAAGTCTTGATTATGATAAAATAATAGATGTTTTTACTTCAAAAAATGCAAGGAGGCATCGTTTTAGATAGATTTTATGTATACTTTTGTTTGTGTAACCTTGTTTTCGTTTGACTATAACATTTATTTCATTTTTGCTATTTTTTTAATTAAATAAAAGCATAATTTAGAATCTCGCTCCGGGCATTGAAAATCAATGGACCGACCCTGTCAGCAACATATATGTAGTAAAAGTGGCATTTTAAATGTATAATATTGTCCGATCAACATCAATGACCACCACGTATTTAGTCTTTTGTAATCGTTTAAGCTTTCACCGTGCAATGATTAAAAGGATCATATGTGGTTGTGGGGTACCAAATACATGGCTAATTGGAAAAGTCTTCAAATCCAGATCTATCAAATTATGTATCACGATATGAATAAACAAAAAATGTTAAAAAAAATAAGCTCTAAAAAAATATTACCACGAAAGTGCATATGAACCCAATTACTGTTTACTATCAATTTATGAGGTTTTTTTTCTTTACTTTGAATGGATGAATAAGTTTGTAAACTTTCATATATACTATCTTCAAGTTACTTTATAATTTTTTGAAAAGAATGTCAAATGTCATTAAGCATTCATAATATTTTAATAATAACATGATCATTTTGGATTGCTCTCAAGACTCATTTAAACAGATAAAAGATCAAAAGAATTTAGGAGAAATAAGTTACCTTTGTCATTTTGATAAATTAATTAGAAACTATTTTAAAATTAATTAATTAAAAGGGTTGAATGTTAATTGATTAAAAGTTAATTAATTTTTTTTCAAACAGTTGAATATATTAAAAAGAGAAGTTAGCACAAGGCTAACAAAAAATTACAAAAGGGAATAAACAAGATCGGGTCTAACCTCCAAGACAGAGTAACACTAATTTTCTTTCGTATGCACAATCCAATTATAAGAATAGTCGATAAATCTATCAATCAACAAATTTTCTTCTAATATTAAGACCATTAAAAAGAACATCGTTATGTAAGTTCCAAAACCACACGTTTGACAGAATAAAAACAAACATTGTTGATCCAATTCACAACACCTTCGAACCGCACAAATGTATGAAGGCTTAAATCACACCATCTACCCAAAAAACACCACAACTCTGCAACCACCTAACATGAATTTAGAATATGTGAAAGGTTTTCTAAGTCCAAGTTACAAATGCTACAAACAATTGAAGGTAAGTCATAGCGTTTATCATCTAGATTAACCTAAGTTGGAATCATGTTTAACCGTACGCGCCAATAATGAATATTCACTCAATGAGGAAGATATTTAGTCCACCTGGTAGAAAAAATATCATTCGGTAAAGTGAAATCATCAATACATCTTCTAACTTCTGCAATCGTAAAATGATCAGAGCCACCTAAATTGCAAGATTAATGATCTATAGAGTCCGAGAAAGGAAAATCAATAAGCAAATCAAGCATTTGTTGCAACTGACCAGCCACAGTACCTCCCATGATCGGACGACTCCAATCAACATTCTAAAATCCTTAGGGGATAAGGGTGGACGAAATTTATGGATAAGCCTATTAGGGTTTTGGAGTTGTTTTAGGATTAAGCAACTGAAACTTATAAATAAGGTAGTAGGGATCAAACCCTATTGCTCTTAACCTTTTGAAACTTTAGCCCTCCCTAGCCTTCTCTCAAAGCCGAAAAATCCTAACATTTCTAAGGTTTGTGAGATTTTCGATTTTTGCCTCCACTGTCCTATGGTTCTATCATTTTGCTCTTTGGTGTTTTTGGGTGTGAACCATTAAAGGGATTCTAGTTTGTGTTCTCTCATTCAAGAAGGTGGCAAAAACAAGATTTCAAGCAAGAAGATCTTTAGCTGCAAAAAATGTATTTATGTTTTGCTATTACTCTTGTAGTTGCAATAATATAATATAATGAAACTTAGATCTTCATAGATTGCATGAACACAAGATTTTGTTAAGTCTTCTGTTGCCATGATCGTGTGTTTAGAACACACTATAACCTAACACAACTATTCCAAATTATCCTGCCACAAGGATATTTGTGTCATAAAAAAACCCATTAATTACACCAAAACAATTACAAATGACATTTAAAAAAATTATTTAATGGTAAATGACATGATGATTGCTGAAGTCCTCAAAGTTGGATATTAGCCCTTAAAACTCGTCATTCAAGGCCCGACGAAGCAACTGACCATTAGCCTTTCTCCAACGAGTAGAGCAGACACACTCGAACCATATCCTTATCTGATAACTCATCAAAAGATCTATCCAATACATTCATTACATATTCCTACCTTACAGTGTCACTTAGAACAACCATAAGAACACACATAATTGGAATCCAAAACAGAGAAATAATGACCAAACTGGAACTTGATAACCAGATAAAAGTCATTCTTTCCAAATGTCAATTTGTAGTTATGATCTCAAAAAAAAGTTTCCAAAACTTTGTTTGGTCGGTTTGTATTTTATTTTTTTATTTTTTGAATATATATATATATATATATATATATATATATATATATATATATATATAACGCACAAGCAAATGATTCCCTTCGACACCCACATGCATATCAAACCACCTACCAAAGTACGACTATCGGAAAAGAGCCTTACATTACATTCATACTATATCTTACCAAAAATATCGACACCAATGGCAGTTTTGTACTAAAAAGTAAGAGAATTATCGAACGGACCGCGCTGTTGAATATCGAGCAAGTTAGTTCATTTCAAAAATAAATATTGGTTGAAACAGCATTCTAGATTGTTGTAGGAATTCCATACGGAGAAGTTTTCCACATTTCGAATTGTACTTCATATTCTATACTGTTTTTCGCATTATGAAATACGATATTCCATTCTAGAGTACTTAAAATGACGGTCGAAGACAAGGAACAATATTCTAGTTTTTAACAAGAGGGTCGCTTATCACAAATAAGTAGTTTTCTAAGGCTTTGGATACAAATTAGCACTGCATTATAGGCATCTTCTTGCATTTCAAACTATGTTTTTCCGTTAATAATCCATAAAAACACGTAAACATGTAAAAAAAGCAAGAACTAACCTGTAAAAACTCATTATCATCACGACCTCATGCCATTTTTTAATTCGCCAAATAAGTTCAAGATGTTTGGTATCTCGGTGTGCATTCTACAATTTCCTTACATAGGAATCCCCTGGAAACCATTTCGAACCGAACCGGTTGGGATTCAAATTCGAACCGAACCGGTCCAAACTAGTGGATTATTTTGCCAAATTACCATATAATGAGTGATTTTCATGAAATACATTTCAATATTTGGCTAGTTTAATCCGTTTCATCAAAATAGTCTCTTTTTACTTTTAATCATTATCCCAAAATTTATTTTCCGCAATGTATATTTTCCCGATATCGAAACACGACAAGATATGTACTCATGCCGTCCATCCAGTTTCATGCAGATAACACTTCACCCCTTTTTTCCAATTTCAAACACACACATCCGGCCTCCCTATTTTCTCTGTTTAATTCCACGATTTCGAGTTCAATGGCACCGAAGAGAAAGAGACAGGTATAACTTCTCATTACTTCCTATCTACTGTTCTTCTTCTTCTTCCTCTATATTGCGCTGATCTTTTCGCTGAACTTGTAGACGGGTTTAACCCGAATGGATGCGGCTCTCGATCAAGTGAGCTGTTTTGGGTTCTCAAGGCAACTCATTAGGCGAACTGTTAAAAATCTTCTCAAGGTCAGATTATTTCTTCGCCATTACAAAATTATTTGACCTTGCATTCAGTTTTTTCTTTGGTAAACCTGACCATAGGAGAATTTTCGATTTATATTTGGTTCCTTGGAAACTGATTTTTGGTTTTTGTTCGTTCTGACTGGGTAGGGTACTAGGGTTTATTTTCGTTCGTTTTGTCCCAATTTTAGATGACGAACACTCGAGGAAAACTCCCAAGCTTTTGACAATTAGCAATGGGTTTTGACGTTGAGACCCAAACATATCAATTCTATGATCTTCAAAACAAAGAAGACAAAAAACAGTCTTCAAAGCGACCCTTTTGACTGTGGTTTCTTTGAGTTTTGTTTTTTCATTTCTCCTTGATGGTAAATTTTCTGCGCAACTTCAACGATACGCTTCTAAAAAATCAACCCTAATTACAAACCAAGAACAATAGGGTTCAGAACGACGAAACAAAGAGAAAACAAAGAAGTAGTGTGTGATTTTTGACGATTAAACACTGAAATTGCACAAGTGTTAACGCATCAATTTCGAATCGATAGTTTATAATTTACATCTAAATCTGTTTATCTTTCTGTCATTCGTTCTAATTTCCAGGTGTATGGTGACGATGGGTGGAAATTAATTGAAGAAGACGGCTATAAAGTCGTTATTGATTTCATTCTCGATGAACAAGAGTCTGAACAAAAACAGAACTTATTAACTGTATATTCATTAAAACCATGGCTTAACATTTGGTTTCATGGCTTTTTAGTAGTAAAATCTTCTTTATTCTTGTTATCGATTTTCTATTCAGAATGAGGCATCATCACAAGAAGAGAAACCTGAAACTGAATTACTCATGGCCAAGGTGAAGGAAGTATCTGCAAAAGACGAATCTTTCGAGGGAAATAACAATCCAGCGTTGACCATTCACACAGGTCAAATTCTCAATTTTATGTTAAAATCTTCAAAAAAATAAAAATCACATCTACATTAATAACTACATAAATTGTTAAAACTTCAATATTTTGCCAATTGCAGAGAAGAATAATGAATGCCTTGAGGATACCTCAATGGAAATGGACAAAACTGCCCACTCAAGCACACTCCATGATGATCATCACTCTCCACATGAATTTAACATCCAATGTTCCGAAAATGCCCCTGATTCAGGACCTTCATCTGAAACAACTAATGCCCCTGTAAATCTCCCTGTTCGTAGGCGTAAGCCCTGTTATGGATGGATCAGTGATGATGATGATGATGATGATGATAATGAGGAAGAAACTTTTTTATAGCATTAACTCCTGCAAGATAAAGCTACATTCCATATGCATAATATCCTTTTGAAGGTATGATTAAATTTGCTATAATCTTTATACATTTGTTTTCATTTAAAAATTGTTCAAAAATAACATGATGCTATATAATATGTTGTGCAGATTGGTGTAAAGAAGGGTTAGAGTTGGTGTTTAAAGATTGTGACTTCGGTAAAAGCACAAGTTTTTGGGCTTTGTTAGCTTTTAAATCTTTAACTATTTGTATATATAGTGATTATATATAAATATTAACTACTATGGGGATTGTATGACACAAGAAAGAAAATGAATTGTGTAATTATATTAAGGTTTATGTATGCAAGTTGTTTTGATATATTATGAAGCTATCATGCACTTTGAGAAACTACAGAGTTAATGATTTATTGAGTTACTATGGGGATAGTAACCATTGTCAAAAAAAGGAAAATGACTTAGGAGGGTAACTACCTGTTAACCGTGTTCACATATTGACAACTTTTTATTTTTTGTACATAATAAAGCAACTAACTTGTTTTAACTGTTTAAATTACACAAATATTACCGGTTAATACCTGTTTTAACCGGTAACTCAAAAGGAAAATGACTTAAGAAGGTAACTACCTCTTATCCGTGTTCACATATTAGCAACTTCGTATTTTTTGTACATAAGAAAGCAACTAACTTGTTTTAACTGTGTAACATCCCAAAAATATGACCAAAAATTTCGTTTTTAATTTAATACTAAAACCATAATTGTCAAACCATTAATTTAATACTCCGGCATCGGGTCCCGCCCGGCATCAGGCCCCGTCTGGTATTGAGCCCCGCTCGGTATACAGATCTGTCTCTCTTAGACCACACATAAAGAAACATACTCTACTATATCCATGTCCTAAGAAACATACTATGCTAATAATAAGATACGGAACTTCGTCCGTACTCAGCTAGTTCCAGCCAGGGCTTCAGCAGTGCAAGGTGAGTCTCCTCACTGTGTGAATGTGTCTAAGGCCACAATGCCAGCCCATGTAGTCTATGAGTAGGAAGATCTGAGGGTTAACCCTAGGCATTGTATGCTTCTATGATTATCCAGACCAAGGTCCGATGTCGGGCAGGTGCCCGAGGAATGTTTGCATGTTAGATTATATTTGCTGTCTGTGTGATACTTGTATGTGCCTGGTAGAGACTAGGGATGAACATAAGCGGGTACCCGCCTCATTTGGCGAGAACCGTAACCGACAGTTCCTAGAAAGTTAGAATCAGAACCGGAACCGGTCTAGGTAGTTCTTAAATGTTTGGAACCAATCCAGGAACCGGCGGTTCCGGTTCTGGTAGCGGGTAACCCGGTTACATTAATTTTGTTAACTTTTGTTGATAAAACCGCAATTTAGTTCGATTCAAATCAAGTCAATTCGGACCAAAGATGGACAAAACCGGACCAATATATATTCTAAATCGGTCTAAGTAACACATATATTTATATGAAATAATATATATATATATATATATATATATATATATATATATATATATATATATTAACCGGTTCCGGCTGGTACCCAACGGGTAGCAGTTCCGAAAAAACGAGAACTAGAACTAGAACCACTTAAGGCGGTTCCACAACTTTAAGAACCAGAACTGGAACCGCTTAAGGCAGTTTCGGTTCCAAAACCGGCAATTCCGAGGCAGTTCCGGTTCCAAAAGCGGGTACCCGGTTCCGATGCTCATCCCTAATAGAGAGGTGAGTGTGGGCGAGGTCCCGTATTTCATCACTAGCTGAGTACGGACGATGTTCCGTATCTCATAATTAGCAAAGTATGTTTCTTAGGACAGAGATACATTAAAATATGTTTATTTATGTGTTAGCATGTTATATGATTGTATATGTTTAGCGGGCGAGGCCTAAGAGAGATAAATTTGTATACCGAGCGGGGCTTGATGCCAGGCGGGCCTGATGCCGAGCAGGGCCCGATGCCGAGTATTAAATTAATGGTTTGACAATTATGGTTTTAGTATTAAATTAAAAACGAGATTTTTGGTCATATTTTTGGGATGTTACACAGTTAAAACAAGTTAGTTGCTTTCTTATGTACAAAAAATAAGAAGTTGTCAATATGTGAACACGGATAAGAGGTAGTTACCCTCCTAAATCATTTTTCCTTTGAGTTACCGGTTAAAACATGTATTAGCCGGTAATATTAGTGTAATTTAAACAGTTAAAACAAGTTAGTTGCTTTATTATGTAAAAAAAAAAAATTATCAATATGTGAACACGGATAAGAGGTAGTTACCCTCCTAAGTCATTTTCCCTTATCAAAAACGATAAAAATATTTCGAACAGTGGCTTTTTAGACATTCACAATTTAAAGTATTAAAGAAATGAAATAGTGCAATGTGAAAGTCTTGCAAGAATAATATGACATAATATGAGCAGTGGCAGTTGAAGATGTATAAAACAAGCCAACGCTTTCCTCGAGTATTAAGATAAAGATGGGTTAAAAACTCAAATATGTTGTGTAAAAAACCCTTTACATAAAAATGTAGCCAAAAAAAGGTTAACAAACGCAAAGTGGTGTTCATGTTACTCTTTTGTGTATTACAATATAAATATCTAATTTCAACCTTCTAATAAACCGTCTCTTTTGTAATATGATTTAACATAATGAAAATGTTTTATATTGTGTTTTTATACTATTATAAGATATTTTATAGGTAACATTCCGTTTTCAGTCTACAATAGAATTCAATTTAAACTGTTTGTTTATAAATTTTGAATTAGATATATTACTTTTTATAAAGAGTTTAAGAATAGGTGAAGGACTATTAGATTTGATCCATAGAGATGTATGTGGGCCTTTCAGATATGCCACAAGGGATGTTAACCAATACTACATGACATTTACAGATGATTATAGCAGATATGGGTATATCTACTTGATCAAAATAAACCAAAAACTCTTAAAAGGTTCAAAGAGTTTAAGCACGAGGTCTAGAATCAATTGGGCAAGAAGATAAAGATGCTCCGATCTGATAGACGTGGAGAATATCTTTGTATCGAGTTCAACGACTACCTCAAGGAATATGGAATCATTTCACAATTGACACATCCTAGAACACCACAACTTAATGGTGTGGCTGAGAGGCACAATCAAACCTTGTTAGACATGGTCCATTCCATGATAATTCGAGTCACTATTTATGCCTTAGAAACAACCACCCATATTATAAATCTTTTTCCCACAAAGAAGGTTGCCAAAATACCTCATAAGATGTGGACAATAAAAGCTCCATCTCTTGAAAATATCAAGGTTTGGGGTTGTGAGGCTCTCGTAAGACGAGAAACTCATAATAATCTTGAACCTAGAGCCAAGAAGTGTATTTTCATTGGTTACCCACATAAATCATTTGGATACTTGTTCTAAAGACCTAGTGAGAACATGGTCTTTATAGCTTGAATGTGAGTCTTTCATGAGAGAGAAATCATACTCAAAGGGAATAGTAGGAGTGTTATTGATTTGGAAGAAATTTCAGAGTCATCCAATGAAGGAACCTTAGATGACACTAGCACTCAACCTGAGGATGAGATTGTAGTTGAGCCCATTGACAATTCTTTACCTCTTCGTCGATCCATTGGAGCTAGCATATCGCCTAAGTTTTATGGATTCCATATAACTACAAATAGACACACGTTCATCAATGATAATACATTAGTGAATTTAGATGAACCTACCAACTACAATGAAGAAATAGCAGGCCCGAGGCTACCAAATGGAAAGAGGCAATATATAGTAAGATTCAGTCCATGTATGATAATAAGGTATGGAACTTCATTCATCATGTACATGGTCGAAAAATAGTAAGATGCAAATTGATATTCAAGAAGAATACCGACATGGATGGGAATGTACACACTTTCAAAGCTAGGCTGATTGTGAAGGGCTTTACTCAAACCCAAGGGATTGAATATAATGAGACCTTCTCACCAATGGCTAAGATCAAATCTATCAGGATAATGCTTGCCATTTCAGCCTTTCATGATTATGAAATATGGAAAATGGATGCTAAAATTGCTTTCCTAAATAGGAAGTTAACTGAGGATGTCTATATAAGTCTACCAGAAGGGTTTGTACATGCTAAATTTCCTGATAGAATATGTAAGCTTGAGAAATCCATTTATGGATTGAAACAAGGATCTCGCAGTCGGAATCTGTATTTCCATGAGAAAGTCAAAGAGTTTGGATTCTATAGAAGCAAAGACGAGTCTTGTATATATGTCAAAGCTAGTGGGAGTGTAGTGGCGTGCCTAATGTTGTATGTGGATTACATACTCCTTGTAGGAAATGATTTTCCAACCTTGCAAGAGGTGAAATCTTGGATTGGGAAATGTTTCGATATGAAGGATCTAGGGGAAGTGACATACATTCTTGGGATAAGGATTTACATGGATAGAAAGAAGCGTCTTATTGGACTTAGCTAGAGTACATACTTGGATAAGATATTGAAGCATTTAAGTATGGAAAATTCCAAGAATGGGGATTTACCCATTCATCATACTGTTAAATTGAGTAAGACTTAATGCCCCAGAAGTGCTAAAGAAATAGATGACATGAGTCGAATCCCATATGCATCTGTTATAGGATCGATCATGTATGCTGACATGTACTCGTCCTGATGCGTCTTGAGCTTGTTTATTCGATTTTAGGATAAGCCAGGCAGTAATTAAGAATATTCTAAAGTATCTGCAAAGAACCAAAGAAATGTTCTTAGTTCTTGATGGAAATGATACTTTGAGAGTGACAGGTTATAGTGACACTAGCTTTCAAACAAACGAAGATATATTTTGTTCACATTTTGTCTGGGTGTTCCTATTAAGTGGTGGAGCAGTGGCGTGGAAGAGTTCCAGTCATAAAATAGTGAACGATTCTACTTGTGAATCAGAGTACATAGTATCGAGTGAGGCATCAAAGGAAGCAACTTGGTTGAAGAATTTCACCGGGGATCTTGGAGTCGTTTCGACTATTTGTGAATAAATGAAACTCTTTTGTGATAATGAAGGAGCAGTTGCTTTAACCAAAGAACCAAAAGATCATGGAAGGTCCAAGCATATTGACAGGAAATATCATTACATCATACATAGAGTTAAAGATGGGCATCTCCTGGTGAAACGAGTGTCATCAGAAGATAATCTTGCAAATCCTTTCACAAAGGCTCTAAGCAAGGCTAAGCACATCCAACATGCTAGGAGCATTGGTTTGAGAGACGATGTTAGTTTTAGTAATTAGTTGATATGTTGAAACTTTAAAACTTTTTAACAAAATAAATTGTAATTGTTTTTGGTGATTAAATAATGGAGATTTATTTATGAGTAATTGTATTA